TTTTTAGATAAACTAATAAGATTTATGAGATAATTATTATTTATAACTAGTCGCTCGCCCCTGCTTCAATCAATTCGGACTCACGACACATCAGTAGATCGACCCACCACTAAATGCGTTTTAGTCATGATGTGGCTTCAATTATTATTAGCTGTTCGTATGTACCAAATACAAAATAGACTGTGTTTTGTTATCATTTTAAACACACTCATAATAAAAAAGAATCTTATGCAATGATATTAATTTATTTTTGTTGTTATTTAATACAATGCAACTACTTACTGTGTCGATTTAGATATGAAAATCGAGGCTCGAAGGCTCATAACTTTCACAAAATCCTAAGTTCCATATAATTTCCTATACTTAGCTAAATATTCACTTTATTTATATTTGTATATTTGTTTAAAGAATTTTGAAAAGACAACTACTTACTTGCTCGGTTTTCCTATGTGCAGCAGCCGTACCTATAGTATTTAATTAATTTATTTCTATTAACAAAATATTTATTGAATTGTATGAAGAAGAAGCATTGTTCTAATTTTTGAAAGTCTTTTCTCTTCATGTTGATTTCACGACAATAGGTATTTGGAATTCTTACTAATACTAATAAGTATTCACTACATTTTTTTTTATTCTATTTCATTTCATTAGCATGATGAGAAAGGCCCTCAAATATCATTTAAATGTGAAAAGATAACTCAATTTTTATTTGTAATTTGGTCTCATGCTTCCTGTAACTCCCTAAGTTACTAGTAGCAAAAAATATATTTTTTACTTTAGTTGTAAATCTTTATTAGGTCTTGCTTGATTAGTTTCACTTTGTAGACATTTTTATTTAAATTAGTTTGCAAATACCAGTCCAAAATAAGGTTATAATTACATGGATTTAAAAGATCATTCCAAAAATTAAATGTATTCCTAATTAATTTCACTTAGTTTACCACATTCGCCCCACCTTTAGAAGACTTTAGACCTTAACACTATTGTATAAATATTATTTTAGAGTAACCAAGTTATGAAAGTATTTATTTAAAACCTTGTAGGCAACTTTTGTATATTTTAGTTATTGTATTAAAGGATTTTGATGCGTATGTTAGTTTAGTTGAGTGCCAAAATTGTTTGTACACCGTTTAGCGTTAGTATAGGAAATATGGTGAGTGAATGAAAACAATTGACTGGAAAATACAGCCTTATTACAACGTCATATGTCTGATTCTTCTCTGCACCTAACACAGCGTATTGTCGTTATGTCCCAATATTCATCCACTCACTATGTTTTTAACTCATTTATTACTAAATGATATTAAAAGCTAATAGTATACATAATAAGCAATATTCCAAAGGTCTGGTAGTACAAACGAGAATTGTTATAGCGATCAAATTGTTATTTTTTTATTTGCCTTGTGTGAAAATCGTTTTTATTCTGTTGCATGTTTTTTTAAGTGGCAACAATGGTTGCAAAGAGTTTGTTCTTGTTTTGTGTGTGTGCTTTAGCGCAATTTTTTTGGTCTTGTACATGAACCCAATAAATATGTATCCGTTTATTGTGAAACTGGGGTTTTGTGTGCTACAATCTTAAATCCGTAAAAATAGTTAACGAGCAGAGGTAATAAAAAGTATTTTACTGTTATCTTGTTGTTAAAAAAGGGGTTACCATTTAAGACCAGAAAAAATATTTTGTTTCTTCTACATTCAAATTAAGATTCATAGATACGTAATAGATAACTTTTATAAAGAAATTCATGGAAAAGTGTAATAAGTTTTTTAAGCCACTGTTTATAGATTGGTAACCCCAAGTGTTGCAAACATCCAAAGGTGATAAACAAGTACTCCATTAAATGAAATAAGAGATATCGATTGTTATTGATCAATACGATTGTTATATGAATGCAATTGAAAAGTACCATATCATTAATGTTACATTACAAAATAACAATGTTAATTACTATATCTTTGTCCTACGTGAATTGTGTGTTTTAATAATAAAAAATATATATTTAACATTTAATAAAATTCGCAATAAAATATTGGCTTTTATTTGTTTATCAGAGGATTTTTAAAGGGTATGGAATGTCGAATTGAAAACACAGATGTATTTATTAATGCTATTTATTTCATTCCTATAAAATAACATACCAAATGTCTCTTTTGTACAACGTCATATCAAAAATGTACACCATTATATAAATTTCGTCTCAGGTAAATGTTACCTAGCTACTCTCGTGTCTCCCCCTATTATTTTCATGGCTATTATTACATAAATATAATTATAGTCCTCTCACGTGCCTAGTCTGATAGTTACAAAATGTTCACAATACCGACATTGGACGCAACTTTATAAAAATACATAACACATCAGAATTACAACGCCCTGTATTTCTATAGAGTCCATCGTATTCGTAATGCTGTACAATATATCTACAATATGCCAACTTCTATAGTTATTGTTAAAATTCATTGTTACGTGAAATTGAATCTTAATCATAAACCTTTAAGTCCATAATACATTTTATGTATATTTTAAAAGGAAGTATTTATTGCACTGTTCAATTTATTCGCTGGAAGTAATATCCGTTAAGCACATTGAAACTCTGGGATACTTATATAAAATCTCAAATACATTTATGGGGAAGAGCGGTAAATTGACGCGAGTAATATTTACGCGAGGCATTACAAAAGTATCACATAAATTAGCTCCACGATACACCGTGGCGAAAAAATTCTGAAACCAATATAAATAGGGTCAATCTCATCACCGCCGCGGACACAAATGGACATTAGCGTCATAAATAATTATATTTTTTTATCAAAAAATAAAGTTACAACTAAATTAATTTTTGAGTATTTGATTTCTATCAGGTGTCTGGGTGACTATTTGCGTAGCGAGGCGGTGGGGAGACCGACAGAGGGGTTTTAATGTGATGTGATCAAGGGACAATGGATTTCATGGGATAATCAACAAGGAACCTGAGTTCCCTCCCTTCATCACACCTCAAAATAAAACACTAGCTAAAAATACAAAACCTCGCGCAAAAAGTAAAACGATATACAAATATAAAATACAATTGAATATAAATAAATTTCCATTATCATTTACACGTGCAGCACGAGGAAGTCTGTTATTGCAATATTATATATAATATATAATATATAATATTATATATAATAGCGTATTATAATTTATTCAGCATTTATTATAAATATCTATTCGTAGGTAAGTATACATAGTACATACCGCTCTATGTACAGAATAAAATTTTGGGGCAATCTCATCCTCTAAGGCAGTGACACAGGTGGGTAGCTTTTGTCAATCGAAATGTATAAAAATTCGAGAGTATTCCTTTTCACATAATTTACTTCCTAGAGGCAAGAATTGATGATCGATCGACTCGAATACAAAAGATATGTGGTACAGCATAAGCACAACCTTATTTTAAAGAATCGTATTAACTGACTCATACATTTTGTTCGTAATGTTAAAACCAGCATTGCTGTCGTATTTTGTACTTTGTTTACAAGCAATTAAAGTTGAGAGTGCAAGTGAATAGATTCTGCGCAGCTATTCTTGTCGCGTGATCACAATTGTGTGTAAAACCATCTATTATCCATTGTGGGTGAATTAGTAAGCAGTTTACGCGACTCGAATTGCATGCGAATTAAATACTGACCAGTCATTACAACTGCAGACAATTTTACTAAAGTATAAGTGACACTTGGTTTCTACTAAGTTTAAGTAAAGAAATACACAAACAAACATTCATTAGGCTTCGGCTTACGTAGGTACAAAGTGGAGTAGAAAAAACTAAATACGTGAATAAATGAACATTATACAGTAAACACCAAGTCCCACTTACTTCTCGTATACTCAAAAAAGCACCGACAGAAACAATCTCAAACAATCACTTCAACAACAAAGTCCAATCAGAAATATTACAAGAAATAATAAAACAAGTTATTGCAAATACATTCTCATAAGTCCTTAAACATCAATGTTATTATAAATTACATAAAAAATCCAAATTAATGATACAACAACGATACCAACTCGCTATAATGTTAGACAAAGTATTATTTAATTATTTTATTTTATACCCATTAATAAAAAATACGACATTATTAGCAAAATATCAATTGAATTTTATTGCATGCATTTTTAAATAAACGTTAACAATAAATTGTTCCTAAATAACATAGTTGGACGATAATAATAAAAAATTTTACAATAAAAATTGATAATAGAGTGTTTTAAATAAGATGGTCACAGATAACTCCTACTTGCTAATACATTATAAGAAAAAACGCGTCATTTAAAACAACAGATTCCTTAGTCTATAGAAATCAACGTATATATTACTATAACATGCTAATTCTATGTTAATGCTTACAAATAAATGCTGTCTACATGGGGATATGGTGATTGTGTGTTACCTGTCCACATAGTTCATTATGAAGCCGCGTACAAATTGTTGAAAAAAATAGACCTCAATTGAAAATAACTTTAGTCAACACGATTTTAAAGCTTATTTTCATTTATACGCGCACGGCTTGAAATCGGGCGCACATTTGACTACTATATACGTATTTGGATCTGTAGAAACCTTCACTGTCTATCAGAATATAATTGTCCCAAAATGGTTTTTATTTATACCCAATTAAATGATATAATTCATTAGCAATCTTCCATAATGAAGAAAATATTTAAAAGTACTATATATTTTCTTAAAAACTGTATTATAAGCACTATCATAATATGATTCCTTAAAGGAAATACACCAGTCAGGCACGTGGGACATAGCTTCAACAAACAGCACCACATTTGCACTGCTAAATAAATAGGGATGATGATAAAAAAAGTTTATAAGGATTCAGTTAGATAGTAAAAAATTATTACCCATGTCTGGTTCTTGATTTACCTTGAATAAACTTGATCAAATATTTCAAATCATTGAAAATTAAATCGTTTTAGATGTCTTTAATAATAGTGAATTTCAGTTTCTTTATTCTACACAGACATTACAATAATTTTTAATCATCATCCCTTCGGTATGGATACCTATACGATTATGTATCATCTAATAAAAACTTTGAACTATTTCTCTATAATGTGCACCCGTTTCTTCAACAATGAATGAATAAATACTACAAGGAGTATCCCTATTGGCTTCGGAGGACTATAATCGTCTAACTTATATGGCCTCTGTAAGGACGTGGATTAAAAGCGCACTGTGTGAATATGCTTATATCAAAGATACAACTAGCATTAAGCGTAAATATACCTAAATATATGTATAAGGTATATACATACACCTTCGTAGTCACTAAATAACAAACTAACGCGTATATTTAGAGAAAGTGATCATCTACATTTGATATCTTAAAAAAATCAATTTCAATCAGTTAAGTTAATAAAAATCTTATTTACAAGCTCCTACAAAACAATAATATTTCCATATGAAAGGATAATACAAAAAAAAAACAATAAAACCGTTTTGCTAAGCAATTAAAACAAATAAATACATGGCATGAAACTGCCAAGGAGTTTTTAATATTTTAATATAAGTTACTTTTGTCCGCCAATTATGATATTCTCAGTATGAATATTGTTTCGTTTAGCAATCGTACAAACCGAATGTGCGTAGTTTACTTAACAGTCAATAATTTCGAGCTGCTTAATCAACTAATACTGAAAGCACCATTTTGTATTACCTAATTTAATCAATTCTTACGTAAGTCAGTAGACAATTTTGATTTATATTTTTAGTTAAGTGTCCGACCACACTTGAGGCTAGGATATGCGATATATTATTACGTTACGTTAGGGTAGACGGATAAATTGAGCTTCGCACATGCACCGGACTTCTGCGGCAATGCAAAATAAATGCACTAGCAAGCCAATTTCACGATACATTAACGCTAATTTAGAACTGAAATAAAACATTATTCTCCAAAAACATTCGTTTTAATAATAAACTTTGTCAGAACACGTTCCATAATATCACTTTCGCCTCGCGTGTGCAGTCGCTACGTTACGTTGGTAATACTCGACACCCAATAATTTAACATACAAAAATATTGCCATCATAAAAAATATTTTGTTAAAATTCATAGACATATAATATTCATTTTAGTTTTTATTTTATGATTTTTTTGTAAAAATGGCATCAAATACTACAAAGCTAGGTTAATACTGAGATGACGAATTTATATTTTAAATATTTTTAAACTAAGCATTTAATGTTCTGTTCGAGTAGCCCTCTGTGGAGAATGTTGTGTTCACTAAACAAAACTAAGTAACCAAGCAGCTTTAGGCACAAGTAACCTTGGTCACATAACATTTTAATCGTTGTTGAAATCATGTATTACAAAATTCAGGTTTAAGCCAGTAAATATACTTCTACACAGAAGCAAAAACAATGATTATATTTAGATGCCAATTTGATCTGTCTCTACGTTCACCCGTGCGTAGCATACAACGATATATATTTTACTGATATTTAATAATAATAATTAAAAAAACACTCATATGACACTGTCGCGATTGACTTTTTATTGTCATCGATGCAATAACTATTTAGGGGGGAGTTATACCGTGAAAACAGAGGTATGTACACACTAAAGTTAATAATATGTTACACATACTGTGGGATAATGGAATACTTGATCCGTCTAATGTGCACAAACCTTGAAGTGACCCGTATTACATCACCACTTAATAATCAACAACTCGCCTTCCTTTACATTTTATTGTTACTTCACAAATCAATATAATAAGACTTATTAATAATTATTTTCGCTTAAAAATATGATACAAATTGTAAATTATATTTTATAAAATAATATTTTGTTAAATAAATAATTTGAATAATCGATATCCTTATAAATAGAACAGCATTAAGAGTTCGTATGTAACACGAGTCACGGAATCAGTACGACGCAAATCACCTTAAGTGCTATTGTTCTGCCACGAGCGATACGCTTACAATTCGATTGTTTATGTATAATATAAATGTATGTACATTAATCATATTTATTCTAACCATGATTCAAGCGGCGACCATCTCTACTTTCTTATAAAAATATTTACACATTTCACTAGTGCTGGATACTACTGCTTAAATCCCAGTCCATTTTTAGAATCCGTGATTATGTTACAAGTCTATCAATATACAGTAATTAGACATCCAAGACGAAGGCAAATCATAGATGCGACGACGTTCGTCAACTCCTATCGATTCTGACAAAACACCAGAAATGAGCGATACATAGACTGCAACCACGACGGTAAAAATATCCTAACTTATTTGTATTTGATCCCAAGCACGATATAAGTTGTCGAATAATAATTATGAAAATGAAATTCAATGAATGACGATTGCATTTTTTAAATACACGTTAAACATACGTTAGTCAACCCGAAAAATATCGATAGAATTACGTCCAAATATATACGAACACTTCGTTTGCAAGCTCACCAGAGAGTGGAAATGTTAAATAAACAATTATCATCACAAATCCATCATACAGACCACTTACGCACTAAGAAATACCTAAAATGTAAAATAGGTAGAAATAATGTCCTCACTATCCAGAAGGCAAAATTGGCACTTAAGACGAAGTTCGCTCCTTTCTTGATGAGTGTTTGGAGGAAGGTGGCGGTCGGGGCGGGGCCGGGGCCGCGCGGGTCGCGGGCGCCGCGCTATGTGCCGGGCGAGCTGTTGGCCGTCGGGTTGTACGGGTGGTTCGAGTTCCGCAACACTGTGTATACACTGTCCACCTTAGCTAGTTTCTCGAAAAACGGTATCAAGTCCAAAAGTTCTGAATCTGTCATGTCGTCGAACCATGACGCGACAGGTACCTGGAACGATAAACTTTAATTAGGAACTGATTTCATAGATAAGATAACTCGCTTTGTTCATAGTATTATCTCGATGTCCTCTGTCATCCACGCATTTAAATATTAGCTAACAAAAGAAATTACTCCATAAAATATGACCGCAAACAAATGTTATATTGCTTTAAGTTGTTTAAGTGATAATATGACTCATTAATGAGCCTTCATTGCTAGCAAGCGCTATTCTCTCACGTAATAAAACTAAGGACCTGTTTTACAATATTATTATGATGTTTCTCTTAGCTTAACTGAATCATCAAACCATGAGTTAGTTAAACAGAAAAAATCCTTTATTATAATAATAGCACCACTTTTGGTAGCAGACCTAGTATATTACCTCGACAAGATCGATGTAACAACGACATGTATTACGTAATGCATTAGTTATCCACTAGACATTAAGTGCGATCATATCTATTTACATAAAACGTTAAATAAACGTCGGGTAATAACCATAACACAAGTCGCGAGGCACGCATCATCGACCTTATCAATATATTCATTAAAAAGAGATTTATTTATAATTGGTTGTATACTGATCTTAGCTTAAAATACTGAGAAACTGTTTACAATAATTTAAGTATCTGAGTACACTACAGGTGTTGTGTTGTTTTGCAAATGTTATATTGATTCTAATTGTGTTGTTCAATAAAGGAGTTATATTAAAATGTTTTGTACACAAAGTAAGACACGACAAACAAATTAAAGATGTGTTTGCAATAAAAAGGAAATAACGAATGTTGAGTTGCACTAAATGCGCGTTATTTTTTCAGAACAAGACTAGGTCAAATAATCAAATTTAAATCAAATTTAGCTTTAAAGAGATTTTTAGCTATAGTATATTTTAGGCAATCTTGCTTAAGTCAAAATTTTCCCAACCGACTGTCACACATGTAGAATTTGAATGAGTCCCATTGTGAATAACCTATACCCCCAATGACACACAGACGGGGGTAACCAAACCTATAGGGCTGGTTAATATATGTATATGTTTGTACTAAAACTTACAGCATTATCCGGATGGAATATATAGGAGGCGGGCGAGTTGTCTACAATGACGACACGCCGCAGGTCGCGTCCGAGACTGTTTAAGTCCTTGACGTAGTTGCCGCGGTGGAAGACGCAACTGTCGCGGAACAACCGCGCTCGGAACACGCCCCATCTGTAACAAACATTATTTTATATTATTAAAAATCAATATTAATAGACAACAAGACAGGCTCAGGTGATGGCAATACGAACTTGACACCTTTGGCTAAGATTGTATGCAGGAAGCTTCGTGCAGAGAAGAGTGGAAGAAGGGTAGAGAAGACTTTGTTCTGTGGTAGGATGACAATGGCTAAAAATAATCCAAATACGATGGTGACGATGAGAAAACATTTGTAGGGTAAACATTTTCATATCTTACAACGGGTTTTTTAAGAACCGATTACGGTTACTAAGACGGGCAGCATATCTCTGTAGTAAACACTGAACCTTTTAAAATGCGACCTCAACCAGTCTCCCGAGATACAGAGGAAAGGAGTCTAATAACTCTGTAATGGCTGATGACTTCATAATACTAGATGATATATTATCAATTTGAAAATCGAAGACAAGTCCATTCGTGGTTTTTTGAAAAATATTAGGACTAGTAAGTATTTCGTCTGCGATCTACCTACGATTTTTTACAACGTTGCGTGCTCCTCGATGCAGTCTTCTTAATAAATGCCGGTAATGGACGATAATGATCCCTGATTAAAACTGACATTGGCATACAGAGTTTAATTTAAAATACTGTACGTAACCTATGTAAGGAATTGTAAAGTATTCAAGTGGAATTCAACTGTTGCGTCGACCCTAAACATGTAGGAGAAAATACGCCGAAAAACATAGAACTAAATTGAAGAAATTTGCCAAATTAAGTAATAGAAATACCTAACAGAAAACATTTAAAAAACAAATAAATGTTTTACTTTTTTATACGTGAGCGTATAATCATAGAGCCAGATTTCGAAAATGCGAACCAATTTAAAGTTTATAAATAAGTAATGATAGTAAGCTAGGGTAATACATTAATGAACAAAAGCGGTTAAACAGTTGAGATTTCGCTCAGTAGATGACGCTAGTGAAGCAAAAGATCCTGTCACTAAAGCCATTGTAACTTTCAAAAATGACAAAAAAAATATGTCCTATCACATTATAGCTCCAATTTCGTAAATTACAGTGCCATTTCACATCAATACTACCTAAATTGCAAATGTAAATATTGTATATAGCTACTGACATGTATCAAGATAATAAAATTAGCTGTAAACATCATTACTCTGTTTCGCACGCAACTCGCTCACGCATTCCATAATTTTCTAATTACACAAATTAACTTAATGCTATGTAATCGTTTAAACCGAGTACATAACTTAGTTTCCACAAGTGGGCATTTGAGTGTTACATTCGGTACAATTAAGAATCGAAGAAATTTAATCACTATACCAATTAGAAGTTACCATTTCTTCGCTTAGTTGTTAATTGACGATGTTTTTTCACCCTTGATTTTATTATAATAACTTCTTTTTTTTTATTGTGTTAGGACAGCAACCCACCATGCAGATTACCTAATGGTAAGCAATCAGTACCGCCCATGGACACCCCCAACAACAGAGGAGTTACGACTGCGTCTGTGCGTCGCCGTACCTACTTTTGGAGATTTTAGAATTGGGGGAGGGGAAGAATTGGGCCTCCGGTATTAGAGAATATGAAGATGATATAAAAAAGAGGGAGAGCCCTCTGGTTGTTTTACACCGGTTTTCTATGAGGCCGTGGTATCACTACGATCGAGACTACCTATTTGTCTCAAGCATGGCTCTCCCACACTTCGTGAGTGGAAAGACAATCAAGCCTATTTCAACCCAAATTCTATTGTAATAGCTGTGATCCTATACCAGCTCGTTATTAGCAGACATACTTTCCATAAGAGGACCAACAACGAATATACATAATAAATATTTTACTAGCTACTCAAACTATGGCAGAAATTCAATGCATAATTTAGTTTGACCGAGACCTTCACTGGAACATGTGAACCGCAAGAAACAGTTCGACCACGTTTCACTATTGTTCTCACATACTGGGTTAATTTTGGTGAGACAACGGAAACTGTCAGAATACTCAGCATTACTGATATTGTAAACTTTGTGAAAGCATAACTATTCATTAAGTGGGGAAAGTATTTCTTTTGACTTTTTAGTTGACGTCGTAATAGTGATTTCATCTTAGGGAACAGTTATACAGATTATTGTCCCCAATTCTACTCCCTGTGGTACACCCGCAGAACCAGTAGAAAGGCTGTAGATATTCGACAGAGCTCTTTGTAAACCTGAACCTGTCAACCTGTGTTCTTCAACCCGCCTGTAAAGATAAGCCGTAGACGGGACTCCGATTTTAATAGGTCTCTAGTAGATAGATTATCTGCCTAACGGTTGATAATGAGTAGACACTTTTGTTTTTCCGCTTATAAAGTTTGAAATCCATTTCACAAATGATTGCGAATGAGTGCGATTTGACTTTCACGAGCAATATCAGTGAGCGCATTGTTGCGCAAAATATAGCAATCAGCGACGACGTGCCTTAGATCAACTCGTAAGAGACTATATCGTTGAGTTAAAGCCAATAGACCACCACAGGTAGGGCCCAACTTGACCAATACTTAGTCGGGGTCACGGGTCAAGCGCGATAAGTGCCGCGGCATCGGCCTGGAGCAGGAGAAGGAACGGGTGGGTTTTTTAGTAAGTCAGAACATGACTTACTAAAAAGGGCGAGAGAAGCGATTTAATGAGTTTTCTTCCACAAAAAAAGAAGATATAAAGTGGGTGCTATTTGATAAGTTTTTTCCTCACCTGTCCAATAGATCAGCAACAGGATCGGCGTATTTAGCGAGCGATGCGGTGAACAGAACGCACTCGTAGAGCTCACCACATCGCCGCAGAAATTCGTCGACATGCGGCCGCTTCAAGACGTACACCTGGTGCACTGCGCCATCAATCTCCACGGGGACCACAAAGTCCGCGTTGTTTATCGGCTGGAAACAATAGATTATTTATAATTAATTATTCAATTTACATAATTTATTTTCAAGGAAATATTCGGTATCTGTCTTAGGGCTGGGGAATAATTAAGGTGCTGTCGCGTCAGAATGTTTGTATAAGACAGTGACAGCAACAATTTTATTCCTCAGATAACATTTAAATGGCTATTGAAACATCAGCCCTTAAACATTCGGTGTAAATGTTTTAAAATAATAATATTTTTAATTGCAGTAGTTCCAAAATGTTGTTAGTGGATTGCAAGGTTATTTAAATTCGAGACTTTGTCAAGATCAACAAAAACTACAAAAACTAAAGTACCGACATCTAATGTTCGCTGTTTACACGATAAGTACAAAGTACCTAACAGTCTTCAAATAAAGACCTTCCTTGTATTGTCAGTTGGCTAATATTTATTTAACAGAACTGTGTATTTTTTAAATTATTCAATGTAAAGCCATTGTCATTGTGCCACGTGACACGATCTCCGAAATCACACGAGTAGTTGTGTCAACAACTCAATAAGAGACTAAATAAATCATTGTAACCAAAAGCACATGCAGCTACTCCGAACTGTAGAAATCCAATCCAATAAATTTGAACCTTTAATACCAGATAATAATGTTGAAAATTAAGAGAATAACTTGCAGGTACTCTGTACCACCGCATTACAGTAGGAGAACATGATACACGAAACGAACCGCAAACTAAAGAGAGAACGAACTTTATCGAAGTGGGCCGACCTCTTTAGTTCGAACGTACCAAAAAGTTTTAAGGTCCAATCTGGATAAAAAAGAGGTTTGTTCTCAACATCACGTGCCTACCACGTCACGAATGACTCACGAAGCGGTTTGGGACTACTCATTCAGGCAATATTGTATTGTATCTCATTGTGAGATATGTTGTGAAAAATTAACATGACAAAAACAAACATAAGACAATTCCAAGCATCCAACACAAACACAGATAATTTAGTAATTCAATATAACAACTCCGTCCTAAACACTATGAATGAATGTGTATTTTTAGGTATAACCGTTGATAGAAACTGCAGCTGGAAGCCACACGTAGAGAAAATACTTAAAAATATTGATCGATTTGTGTATGTCTTGAAAAGAATAAGACAAACGGTTAACATAAATAGCGCAATGGTGGCTTACCATGCTTATGTAGCATCTTTACTAAGATATGGTCTTATTATTTGGGGCAACTCAGTAGACGTAGAAAGAGTCTTTAAAGGACAAAAAAAGTGTATTCGAGCAATGTGTGGTGCTCACTTTTTGGATAGCTGCAAACCGCTGTTCCAAAAACTTAAAATACTACCTTTGCCAAGTCTCTACATATTTGAAACATGCATGTTTGTAAAAAAAAACTATGATTCATTTGTTAAAAGTAACTACAAAACTAATAGTAGAGTATGTCACAATTACAAATTAAAATTGCCGCAAATAAAATTAATGCTATATAAAAGAAATATTTACTGCATGGCAATTATTATTTATAACCATCTGCCAAATAATATTCAAGATTTGCCATCGTCGTTGTTCAAAAGGGTTTTATTTAAAATGTTACTAGAGAAAAAATATTACAGTGTTAAAGAATATTTAGAGGATAACATAATACATAATATTCGCTAGTAACATAATACATAATATTTATGTAAAAATAGGCTTTGCCATATCTAACAGTGACATAATTATCAAACATTAATGACATTCTTATGACCAATTTAATTCAATTTTAATCTTCATTACAATAATATTTATATGTGACATGGCAATCTTAATTCTTAATTCTTAAAAAATTCTTAATTAATTCTTAATCTTTATTTTAATAATATTTACAAAACCAATACAGCAACTTTAATCCTATAAATAATATTGACATTTTATTAATTTGTATTATACAGAAATATTTGTACGCCATAGTATGGCAGGATATGCTGGAATCAAAACTGTAACATCTATTGTACCATATTCTGACAAATAAACATTTTTGATTTTTTTTTTTTTTTATTGTTAATTTAAAAAAATCGCATAATTTTACTTTCTATAGAAAACAGAAATAACTAGTTACCTACTGATGTTTCAATAACGAAACAGATTATCAGATGACTGCCATTTATGACGAATAATGGGGTAATCCCAATGGTATTAGACAAAAAAAAATCGTTAGGAAAGCCTTCCAATAACAAAAAACCAACTAATATACAACAAACAAGTAACGCAAAGAAACAAGGATACATTTTAAAACGACAACTGACTGACAGGTTAATCATGTAACTTTAGAATTTTAATCTGGTAACACAACCATAAGCATATTACAAATATGGTAAGTGAACGATTTCATTTAGAGCTTTCCTCGTATCGAATATCAAACGATACCGATTTTGAATATAGACATCAGTTGAGACTTGATTACTGATGCATAAAGGATAATTTGAATTCATTTTTGCTTGGCAAAGGAGGTTTTAAACTCACGTTTACAAAACTTTTATGAATAATATGTACGTAATTTTAAGCTAGGTTAATGCCATTTTTTACAGAGTAAGCTGTGTAAAAAATAGCATTACTGGGTATGGCATTATTGGCTTCTCCAGTTACGAAAGTAAACAATCCTGGAGATATGGAATAAACAAAGTTGGAGATATAGAGAGCCCAAGGCGTAAACTATACCCACAAGGAACTATATGGACTTCCTTAAGAGGTCAAAAACCTAGCAGTCTTACATAAGTCAACATATTAAGAGTGCGTGAAGAAACAGGTTAAACACATGTTAATTAGCGCAAAACATATTCCTTAGACCAAAACGAAACAGGAGTGAAGCCAAAATAACTATACAAAAACTGAAAAAACACAAAAGTCGTTGTAATGAACAGATTCTTTTCGTGTTAACCATTAATTCAAAGGCGAAAGAAAGCTATTGTTACGTATAAAGAAAAAAATACAATAGGAAACATTTAATATTGCTATACATAGCGGCTTCGTTCCAAGCTTCAAATTACACGTAAAAGGGTTATTTCACGAGTACCAGCAAATAAATACGTGACGAAAAGTAATAAAGCTTAAGTACTTATGAATAAAAAACACCTGTTTAAATAACTACGCTTTTATACCGACCTAATAAACGAATCGAATAAACATGACATGGATTTTTATCACGGCAAAACAAAGTTTTTAATTAAAACACGAAAGGGTTTGATAGGGGAATCGGGCGATTCAAAGGGAAATACGCTATTACTCATACACTAAGGCATGAATGCGGCCGCGAGTGTTTACAATGAAGATATAAACAGTCTTATTAATTGATAATTTGCATAAACTTATTACGTAGTATACTTTAGAGGTCGCCTAGAAATGTTATTCGCGTGACGCGAGGCAGCTATGGTTATTTATTTTATGTCCAAGAAAGCTTCCAAGGAAAAACTGTAGCCATTGTTTTGGTACTTTAGTATATTTAGCGTGACCGCCATTTTATGAGGGTAGTATGGGGACGATACAAATTTCTATGGCGAGGACCGAAAGCCCAGAAGTCTCTAAAGGATTATTTGACTAAGTAATTGCTGTTGCGACCGACTACAAAGTTGTCAAGGTGAAATTCGATATCGAAATTCGATGTATGTATACATTCAGAGACAAACATTTGATAACATGAAAATAATAATAATAATCAAACTGTAAAACACACAGCTACACACATCATATTGAAATGTAAGGCTAAGAACTCACGGAGCGATTTTGAACCGTGCCCGCGTCCGCTGCGGTTGCGAGCCCGCAGCTTCTGTAGAATTCAAATATTTATATAAAAAATTAAAGCACATTTCACGACGCGATTTACGCCCGCGGTGTACGCGGTTGTATGCGGCTCCCGCTGTACCGGCGGGCAACTAGTAGAATCGCGCGGGCCGCGGTTACCCGCAGCCTCGGCGGGTGACACCCGCGCGCTTTGCGATCGGTTGGCGAGCGACCGCGGGGGCCGGCGGGTCTTCTGTGAAGTTAATATAACGCAACGGCTCGTTTCTGGTGTGTGTCAATGGCGGTCTGGACCTCAACTGATCGTTAACCGCCCGTCTTGCAATCTTGCGATCATCGCCCGCCACGTTTGCGGGCGATGATCGCAACCGCGGCGGCTGTGTAACCGCGCAAATAACCGGTCTCGTAAGTTTGGAAATAAAACCGCAGTTCCGCTACCGCGGCGGGCACGGTTCAAAATCGCTCCGTGAGTTCTTAGCCTAAGGCTAAGAACTCACGGAGCGATTTTCGCTCGCGTCCGCTGCGGTTGCGGGCCCGCAGCTTCTGTAGAATTCAAATATTTATATAAAAAATTAAAGCACATTTCACGACGCGTTTTACGCCCGCGGTGTACGCGGTTGCATGCGGCTCCCGCTATACCGGCGGGCAACTAGTAGAATCGCGCGGGCCGCGGTTACCCGCAGCCTCGGCGGGTGGCACCCGCGCGCTTTGCGATCGGTTGGCGAGCGACCGCGGGGGCCGGCGGGTCTTCTGTGAAGTAAATATAACGCATCATCCGATCATCGCCCGCCACGTTTGCGGGCGATGATCGCAACCGCGGCGGGTGTGTAACCGCGCAAATAACCGGTCTCGTGAGTTTGGAAATAAAACCGCAGTTCCGCTACCGCGGCGGGCACGGTTCAAAATCGCTCCGTGAGTTCTTAGCCTAAAAGGGAAACTTAAGAAAAGAGCACCAATTTAAACAATACACCAATTAGACCGCAATAGAATAAAACAGATCGACTCCAATATAAAAGAGATCTTAGTTAATTACACAATCACGTTAAACACTTCATTCTCTACTTACTTTATCAAAGAGTTTATTTATTCGATTACTTTATCCTTCTTGGTTTTTAGTTCATTAGACCAAGCACAAGAAAACAAACCAATCTTGTTTGTTCGACATATTTCTGTCAAACAGTTGCTTTGGATTTGGGCCATCGGGCATCGCCTTTGAGAACTTGGGTCAAGCATTGTCGGCAAATAACAAAGTGGATTGACTTCGTTACAGAGTTCTATTTAAAAAAATAACATCAATTAGGTCAGAATTTTGAATTGTAAATGTTTGTTTATCATCCATCAGCTCAAGACAGACTGCTAAAAATGTGCTAGATACAATTCTAGGAACATTCAATGGATTATCCTTTGATTGGTCGACGTTTAAAATGTATTGTTGCAATTTATGTTTTAGTAGCGTTTTACAAATAACTCTTTATAAATGTTATAATATAAATCGATACGGTTGCGATGCGCGGTCGAGTACGGACGCGTTTGCACTGCTACGTCTGAATATTATATTCGCGATTTGCGCGGCTTTAGCTGCTGCCCGGTTTCCGCTATGAGCACCCAAACGCTCATAGCCAATGAAGTTTTGGCATTTATCAAACATGCCATCGACTACATGGACGAGGTCAGCATCTTGCAGATCTGCAAAACATCCTTCAAAGAGGATGAGATATGCAGTGCCAAGTTGCTGCTGTTCACGACGATTGGCAAACTCAGCCAGATGCCGTCTCGTCGAAGGGATGGCACGGAGAAAAGCATCCAAGACATAATTACATTGTTGAAGGAGATCGACCCGGACGACGTGCCTCAATTCGTGGCGAAGGACCTGCACAAGCTGCCTCCCGTCACGTTCGATCACGTAGATGTCACCAGGCTGCTTAAGGATATTACATTCCTAAAGCAAAAGCAGGTCGAGATGCAGCATCAGCTGGAGGTGTCCAACAATACCATCCGTGATCTACGGGCAGAAGTAGAGTCATTGCGCAATGCAATTACTGCAAGTAGGTCACCCAGCAACGCGAATGTGAACACACGTCGCGGGGCACAAGACGCCTCCATCTGCAGTTTCGAGTCAGCGGGCTCGAATACGTCACCAGCTGCCGAGGATGCACGTGTTGCAACGCGTGCCGCGGCCGTCCCTGCCTCGACACCGGTGGAGACGACGACGTGTGTAGGTTCGACGACACCCAATCGAGCCTACGCAGCAATTGTAACCGCCGCTAATAAGCCTGTTGAGCCACAAAACTCGCAGGTTAAAGTAGCGGATAAAGTGAAAGGGGTTAAACGGAGCCTGCCAAAACCTAAACAGGTTCTGAAAGGGCAGTGCCCAGATAAGGACACGGGCGACAGCGATGGTTTCATCAAGGTGGAGAAGAGGAAGAAAAGGAAGAAGCCTCCTTGTCGGAACCAGTGCGGTACTGCATTGGCAGGGCCCAACATGTTGCTGCGTCCAGCCGTACCGACAACGCTGCTGTACGTGTCCAGACTGCATCTTTCCACGAAGGTTGAGGAGGTCGTGGAATATATGCGCGTGAAGACCAACTGGACTTTGAGGGTCGAGCTGTTGGAGCCGCGTCACAAAACGAACTTCAAGTCGTTCGTGGTGCGAGTTCCAACACATCACCTCGAGAAGTTCCTCAAAGACGAGTTTTGGCCGAAAGGTGTTATGTACCGCCGGTTTCGTGGCCAGCTACGTGACACCAGTCAGCGAAACACGACGCCGACACTTTGTGTACATTAATAAAACAATGAATAATCAATAAGTTAATTATGTAATATATATTTATAGTATTGTTAAGTTTTAGAAAATATAGTATTGTATATGTTTATATGGGCCTTCGATGCCTGAAATAAATGGACAAATAAAATAAATAAATAAATAAAAATAAATAATCCAAATCACACTAAACACAATCACGAAACTGTATTCCAAAATGTATTATTGGTACCAGCCTAGTTATGCCTTAGATCATTAGCAAATGACGAAATTATCAATAGTGAGGAGCTGTGTAATGAACGCGCCTGCGCCGGTCCCAAAGATCGAGGTCGAGTCATAACATAAACCTAAATTATGTTCTCTTCGAGCACGTAATATTGCCAGAACAACGTGACGGCTAACATAACTTGAAGATAATTTATTTGTAAGACGTAACCTCAGAAGCCCATAGTTCACTCCTCGTAGTTGCGAAAAATAGAAAATAATATGATAAGGTACAACCTAGCCGCAACAAAATATCTCTAAGTATCTGAAGGTTTAAGGTCTTTAGGTACCTAAAATCCATATGTCCGTGCTGTAGTACCTCCGTATATACAAGATTTCAACGCTACAAAAACATTACGACTTTAAACATATAGCTTGGCTGGAAGTTTTATGCCACCATAGATCGTAAGACCTACACTTTATGGCTACCGCTATATAAGTAAAATGGTCGTATGAACATCTAGGCAATTTTGGCATTATATTTCGTTATAAGGCTGCATTTAATCTGTATATATCATTGGACACGTGGTAGACGATCTAAATTACCTATGTGTAAGGAAATGTCAAAGTATTGCTCAAACCTGATTTAATCAAACAAGCCAATCTCTCTGGCTCAAGAAATGGAACGAAAATAATATAGAACCCAGGTGTCGCCTGCCTAAACAATCAACGAGGCAGACGACTGACATTATCAATAAATGAAATTATTTCATTTCGAATCATGCAATCTAAATCAAAATCTTATCCAATAAATCCTCTTGTGTCAAAACTTTAGCCGTCTTTTTGTTTGCAGTTACATCACTGGCAAATCCGATTTCATTAATTTAGTTCAGTTGCTTCTAAGTAAATATAAGTACCAGCTTTGCTTGTGTAGCTTCCATTGTATTATTGACACAATTAAATGTATATACAATCATTGATCACCGTTACAATACTATGCAGATATAGGTTATTTATTGTGCATATAGATCCGTACGGAAGCAGGAAACTTTGACAAGATTTTATAGCCGAATACACGATTTCGCACGATAATATCAATACGAACTTTTTGAAAATAAAAATAGCTCAAGTCGTACGTACACGTATGGTAATGAGTATACTAAAGTACAACTTCTTGTGAAAGTAATTTTAACATTTATAGTTGGTGTAAAATTCTCATAGACTCATTAAGTTGGGTATAAAAAGTAGAACTACCTGGAAAACTCGTAGAAAGTTACAGTTAAGGCATTCACGAAAACGTAAAGGTAAAATAAAACATTAGAGCCCAACGATAGAATGAATTTTGCCCTTCGACAACTTCCAAGGTTTACATTGATCTATCAGTTACATAGTGGATCAAAATTGATTCCCGATTGTGTAGCCAAACACATCCAAGGTCGGAGCCTTGACACGACCGAAGCTTACCAAAAACGAACTTACAATAGCAGCTAACATATGGTATAGAACACAAACCGTGCTAACAATGCAACATTTGCTGTTTATTAACTGTTGTGTCAGTTAGCAAATTTGACCTTGCAGGCCTCACGACAAATCTTGTTCTGTAAGCCTAACAGATTAGGAACAGAATCCGAGCGTGATATTTTACTTATCAAGATTAGCTTCGGATTAGGTCAAACCTTACAGAAGCTGTGGGTTACGACTGTGGGCAGAACTATTGACCAACTTTCCCGATTGATGTTTGTATTAAATCAATTTTCATCAAAAGTATGACGCATATCTATAAAAGCGCGCTTATTTAGTAAAGAGAAAACTTTCTCCTTCATTTCTACTTCACGCGTTGCTCTGGATTATACTAGTACAATGATTAAGATATCATTTTACTTTAAGTGTGCATTTGTAAAGAGAATGCAATGTATAAGCGTTTTCTAAGCAACTGCACGTAACAGCGAATGCTCCATTAGGGATCGGAAGTGAAGGGTGTCGGTCACCTCATTTTCTATACCACGTCGCCGTACGCACACTTTATTTGCGGACAAAGTGGTCGGCTTGTGAACGTATGCAAGAATATGTTTTTGCTTAGCAACTAACTACAACATTATAGATATTATAAACATTAATAGAACCGATTGGACGGCGTGTGAAATGTACCAATCAATCTATTTACGTAGGAGTCAAAGTTCAGTGCACACCCTACCCGGGTTACGTTAAAAATAGTCCAGTCAATTCAATAGAGCAAAAATTTTGCGTGAGATTCTTTGTAATTCTACACATACACATCTCATTGCTAGATGAAGATAGAATAGTATTTTTGAATCGAATGCTAATCTAATAGTAGATACATAGCAACAAGCCAGAACAGATATTGAAAAACGTATGAGTAATGGATTGTAAAATGCGAAACTAGATCCTAATATAGAATCAGAAAGTCTGTCGAGAAAACGAAATAGTAGACTAAAGAATATTAATTGATTTATTAAATGTTTAGTGTTCAATAATAATGGCAAGAAAACGGTTGTAGAATATTAATGAATACTAACTAAATAATGAAGCAGTGAATTATTACTTACAGAGTGTAACAATAGCACGAGTATAGAAACAAAATATTAAAGACAAATTCGAGACATAGTTGAGTAAAAAGTGTAATTTCTAGATTTGTGACTAAAGACATTTAATTGAACAAATTGCCGAAACAATTTCACAAAAGCCTTCGTAAGATAGAAATAACCCCAAATTCAGTACAAGGCTTAATATACTTAGTCGGGTCATAAGTTCTGTCAAAACCTTATATTTTTAATTTTCGATTACTGGCCAGAAATTCTTCGACTTATTTTAAAAATAGAACTTTCGCGCTTGTAGAAAATAAAAAAGAAATTATTTTTTATTCATTTTTAAATATGGAGTGGTCGAATAAAGAAGACAGAATCGCGGTTATCGCGTTGCACCGCTGTGGTTACGCGCCAAAAGACATTTTCAATATTCTTCAAAATTTGAAAATAACGTTACGGTTTGTTTATCGTACTATCAAACGATACACCGAAGAGTCAAGCTTCGAAGATCGTAAGAGAAGCGGCCGACCTCGCACAGTTCGGACACATAAGGTCATCAAAGCAGTGAAGGCGCGAATCGAACGAAATCCCGTACGTAAACAAAAAATCCTAGCTCTGCAGATGGGGCTAAGCAGAACCACTGTTAAAAGAGTACTAAATGAAGACCTGGGACTACGAGCTTATCGTAAAAAGACAGGACATTTTTTGAACGAGCGTTTAAAAAAAATTAGGCTAGACAGATCCCGCGCTTTGCTACGACGGTACGCGGGAAAAAAATACCGCGAAATTCTTTTTTCGGATGAAAAAATTTTTACTATTGAAGAAAGTTTTAACAAACAAAATGATAAGGTGTATGCCCACAGCAGTGAAGAAGCAAGCGCGCGTATTGCGAGGGTCCAGCGTGGGCATTACCCTTCCTCATTCATGGTTTGGCTTGGAGTCTCATATTCAGGCGTAACTGAGGTGTTTTTCTGTGAAAAAGGTGTGAGAACTAGTGCCGAAGTTTATCAAAATACTGTCCTAACAAACATAGTGGAACCTCTTTCTCAGACAATGTTCAGGAACAGGCATTGGATATTCCAACAGGACTCTGCACCGGCTCATAAGGCACGAAGTACGCAAGACTGGTTGATCGCTCGTGGAATTGACTTCATCCGGCATGAAGACTGGCCCTCTTCTAGTCCAGATTTAAACCCACTGGACTACAAGATATGGCAATATTTGGAGGAAAAAGTCTGTGCTAAACCTCACCCGAATTTGGAGTCTCTCCGAGCATCTCTGGTTAAAGCAGCGGCAGACATAGATATGAATGTGGTGCGTGCAGCGATCGATGACTGGCCGCGTAGATTAAGGGCATGTGTTCAAAATGGGGGAGGGCATTTCGAATAATGTAAATAAAATTATATTGTACATTTAATGACCTTTCATTTCATATATAATTTTTAAATAATTGTCAAAAGGCGTATAAGTTATTACATCAAAAGTTTGTGACAGAACTTATGACCCGACTAAGTATTTAGGGGTCCATCGTGACTACGGGCAATTTGAGAACAAATTGCTATGACAATGATCAGAGCTAGCGGAGGTAATGAAATATTGAAAAAAAATCATTTCCATCGTTACAGAGACACTGTGTCAAGATAATGATAAATTATTCTATAGATCGGCAAATTCTGTGCACCAAGGATCAAATTACCGATACTTTCATGAGTCGGATAGCTGTCTACACTGCAATTTGAACGGGCATGCCATCCAAAGCGATCGAGTGTTGCTTAAACGACGCTGTGTATTGAGAAATTGGTAAGCATTCGAAAATACTTAAGAGTACTATAGTAAGTGACATAAGAACTATTTGTTCGAAAATGATTAATATGTTGTAAGCACGGCGCTCCCAAATTTGCAAAGCCCTCAAGAAAGTACCTAGTCATTGAATTTAAATAGAGGATTTGGTAAATGCTTCCGAATTGTCCTCTTCTCTATTCGATCATATTGAACTGGTTAAAAAAATACCAATAAGCCACCTTGAACTACCGTTTATTATGAGAATAGTAGCTAAACTATTCGCGTAAAACTTGTTCATAGCTAGTCGATCGTAAGTACGTACAGTGCAGGTTCGCTGTAGGAAGTATTTTTAGTGGCGAGCGTACATTTCAAAGGCTTCTAATACCACGGACTGCGGGATGTCTATAATTTCGAAAAAATTTAACTTTCTTTTCTATCTAGTCAAGTCAACTATCAGAATTATCATTATCAGTTTTCTTCGTGTAATCTCCG